TGCCATACAATACACAGAATAATATTTGGAATTTGTTTTGATAACAACGGAATACAAGTGCCGGGAAGCATAATGGCCATTGACCCTAAAACAAAAGCTACGATTTACTTGTTCAAAATGAAAGGCCTTTCCACTCGTCAAGTACCAAAAGAATGTAATGTTTCACAAGCAACAGTCTGGCGAATGCGGAATTCCAGTATCAAGGATAAGATATCCACGAGTAAGAGAGTAGAAACGAGAGGAAGACGAAAGAAAATAACAGCGAGATAGGAAAGGCAACTGAGGCGATCTATACAAATCCTCCGAGAACAAGAGGGACATTTTACAATAAAAAGGTTAATGTGGAAAGCCTCTATTGACACAAGTGTCGTATCTTAGAGTACAGTGGGTCGTTTTTTTCCACAAAGAAGGATATTTCTATCTGCAAGCACGAAAGAAAGGCTTACTAACAAGAACAGACATGAAAAATCGCAGTTCTTTTGCCAAAAAAATGCAAAGAGATTTCAGTCGGGACGTATGGACGAAAGACATATCGTTCTATTTAGACGGCACAGCGTTTGCATATAAAACAAATCCTCTTGATCAAGCCCGCGCACATAAAGGAAGAATACGGCGCAAAAAAAGTGAAGGGATGGATTATCGGTGTACCGCAAAGAGAAAAAAGACGGGAACCGGAGGGCGTGTCCTGAAGCTAATGGTTGATATAAGCTTCGACAAGGGGGTGATTTTATGCAAGGCATATGAAAAGCTGAATGGCCCGAATTTTGCACATTTTATCAACGAGAACTTTGATGTCATGTTCTTAAAAGCCGATAAAAGCCAAAGACGTCTATGGATTCAAGACRGCRATCCAAGTCAGAATTCAAAAATCGCCCATGACGCTATGGACCGTGTAAACTGCGAACTCTTAAAAATACCAGCCCGATCACCAGATATTAATCCTATAGAGAATTTATTTAATCAAAAAATAATTTTTCGCAGTTTATTGGCTATTTCGTTCCAAACTTTTGTGGACAGGTTCGTACAGCAAGTTTGATTACTTTCGCAAAGTTTAAGCTAAAACTATGCAGGCAGTACATAGTTAGGGGGTGGCTGACTTGAGAACAAGCCTTTATGGCATATTTAGCAAACCGCACAAAAGTAAAAATTAAGGGAGTGGTTTTCTTCATGTTTATGCATAGCAAAGGGACTTAAGGTAGTTGAGCATAGTTAATGTTGTGTGCAGATCACATCTATGGAGTTTGACTGTATGGCGAAGGCTGGTCACGTGACTAACCCTAGGTCAAAACCCTAGTCACAAGCTCCAATGTAACCCTAGGACAAGCCTAACCCTAAGTCAAATCTTAACCCTAACCCTAAGACAACAGTCCTAACCCTAATCATATGTTAGCCCCAACCGAAATTTTAACAAAGCGTGCGAAAAAACACTGATCACGTGACCCTCATTTTTGGAATTAACCCTTTGACGACAGGTGTTTTTTTGTTGATTTTGGAGCTTTTTCGACCCTAAGATCTTGATGAAATAATTGACTTCCATATAAGGTGCTGCCAATAAAACTATTTCGGATTTGAATTCCCTAGGGAGCGTTAATTTATGCAGGGTTTTGTAAATTTAGGTCAGACCGTTTGTTTATCGACCGGTTGGGCCTAAATTTACCTAAAAACCCGTTTATAAGTGTTTTTTGAGCTTTTTGCTGCCACAGGAGCCCCTAGGTTTGCATCATTAAGCTTGACTAGTCGGCAGAGACAATCTTCTGGAAGAAATCAGAGGTGGAAAGCGGTTTTTCGAAGACAATGGCTCCAAGTCATGCTTTGTTTTGAACTGGAGACACCATTGTAAGATCGCTTTCCTGGTCCATCTGTGGYAGATTTTCCRACCTASCAAGGYAATTTTGGCAATATTTGACAACCAAAGAATGCAATTGGACCAATATTTTGCCTGTAGGTGCGGGGGAGCTCACACTTGTAAACTATTTCTTAAAAGAAGAATGCTGCGAGATTTATGTCGATATTTTGTCTCTTCCCGTCATGCATTTCGGTCGTGCATAGGAGTGTATTGTACTGGGTGCTCAAAAGAGGGCTGTTGAGAGGTCTGCAGTGACTTTGACAGAATAAAAACGGGAAAATGAGGACGTGCTATCAAAGGGGTTTGCAAGTGAAGTGGACTTTTTGCTACAAAACATGTTTTGACGCTAAAAATTGAGCTGGAAATTAGTGTTTCCTGTAGTCCTCCAAACGCAAATTTTGGCATTCACTTGCCAGTAAAGTACTGTTTTGTGACTTTTTTTACCTCATTGGGAAATTCTTTGAACTTTAAGATCGACAATATTTACTAGTGAGTTCACACTAACAATTTCAGGGATATAGCTTACTATTTCGGTMACTTATMRATTTTAGACGCATCGTTCGAATTCGAACGATATCCTATAGGGCAGTCGCCAGAGGGTTAAAATAGTGTCTGATATCTTGCATAAGCACGCTATTCTGCAAAAAATCTCAAAAGAATCGTTTGCACAATTTGAAGATAGGGTTATTTCAACATTTCGTTCGCTACCTATAGCAACTATAAATAACATAATATCTTCAATGCCAAAGCGCATAACGCAAATTATAAAAAGGAAAGGACAACGTTTAAAATATTGAGACCCAGCATTATAATCTTTGTATATTTATCAACAGAATATAAATAAAGAACATCGTAATATATAGACAATACAAATTCGTCAGCGTTATCTTTATCTCATCAGTTGCTAAGTTAATAACTCAATCAAATAGTTGATACTTCATGTACACAGATTCATACTTTTGTTATGCGGCACTNGCTCAGTTTTGTGGTTGGGATGCTAGGAAACAAGCACAGGCCTTACCACTCTATTTAAAGGGACCCGCTAGCATGTGGTTCAATTCATTGCCTGATAGAGACATAATAACGTTGCAAGAAATAAGCCAAAAATTAAGAACACATTTTTCGTCGGAGGCATCTAAGTGGCGCATAAGACAAAACTTAGAACAAAGAAAGCAAAAAGCTGACGAGAGACTTAACGATTACATAAGCGACATTAGGCAACAGTGCAGGAGACTCGATCTCCCTAGAACAGAATGGGTTCACCACTTTGTAAAAGGTTTACGACCGGATATAAAAGATTATGTCGTTCTTCAGCAGCCGGAAACTATTGAAGCTGCAGAAAATTTTGCAAAATTAAAAGAGTCCGTGTCCCCGAGCACCAGCGGTGTCATAGATACGAAAGAAATTTCACAAGAAATAATCAAACAACTCAAATCGCTTAGCTTGACACCTGAAAGTAAACCAGAGGCCACACAAGTCGCAGGAATTAACGAGAAACCATACAATTACTACCCCTCCAGTTCTCCTTATCAATCAAAGCATGAACCAAAAGAGAAGARTCAAAGTATAAGAGAAATAATTCGCGAAGAWTTGCGAAGGGAATTAAGAGGTTCAATGAACCCAAACCAAGTAAGGGGTGAAAGTAGTGGTTTTTCCAATCCTGGTAGTTTTGGGAGGGGCGGACRTACAAAAACTGGTATTATTATATGCCACTACTGTGGAMAAAAGGGCCACTCAATGTATAACTGCCGATTTTTGCAAGAACAAAACGAGAGTAGGCAATTCCAAAATAGAAGTCGACAACGCGACACAAGAAATCAAAAACAAACATTCGTTTAGTTAGGTCGTTGCTCACTAGTGCAGCACACAATTGATACCGGCACTAGCCAACCAATTAAGCAAAGGCCTTATAGAACGTCGCCTGAGAAGAGACAAGAAATAGATCGACAGGTAACAGAGATGTGCGAAAATGACATCATAGAGCCATCGGTAAGTCAGTGGGCTTCACCGGTGGTCTTGTGCAAAAAGAAGGATGGAACGATGCGTTTTTGTGTCGATTATCAGAAACTGAACCAGGTTACACGAAAAGATTCGTTCCCAATCCCAGTGATATCAGAAGTTCAGATAGTTTGAGCGGTACTCAGTATTTTACAACCCTAGATTTGAAGTCTGGATATTTTCAGATAACTCTGGACCCGTCCACGAAAGAAAAGAGTGCATTCGTTACGCACAACGGTCTGTTCGAATTCAAAAGATTGCCGTTTGGATTAACAAACTCGCCTGCAACTTTCCAAAGAATAATGCAATACATACTGAGAGGGTTAGAATATAAATACGCGCTAATATACATAGACGACATCATAATATTTTCCAAAAGTGTTGAAGAGCACTTGACACATCTCGAGGATGTTTTCGAAAGGTTACGTCAAGCTAATCTCAAACTTAACCCAAACAAGTGTGTTTTCGCCAAACAGCGTCTAGAATATCTGGGACATATAGTAACGCCACAAGGTATATATCCGGACGAGAATAAAGTTAAAGCAGTTAAAGATTTTCCGACTCCAAATAGTATTAAGGCATTAAGAAGCTTCCTCGGATTGTCTAACTATTATAGACGTTTTGTTAAAGACTTTTCTAAGATTGCATCTCCGCTCACACAGTTAACAAAGAAAGGAGCTAAGTTTGAATGGACACAGCCTTGTCAAGAAGCTTTTGACCAGCTGAAACGCGCTTTAACCTCCGCACCTATTCTGGCGTACCCAGATTTCGCAAGAGAGTTTCATCTTTTTGTTGATGCGAGCTCAACAGCAATTGGCATGACACTTTCTCAGATTTCGAAAATTTACGGTTCACACTGACCATAGCTGCTTACAGTGGCTTCGAACAGTCCAGAATCCAGTGGGGCGCCTTGCCCGCTGGGCGGTGATTTTAGAACAGTACCAGTTCGATGTTGCTTACCGTCCAGGAAAGACCCACGGCAATGCAGACGGCTTAAGCAGAAGGAGTTATGAAAAATGTGAGCTGTACGCTATTAGTTTCCTCTAGGAAGAAAAGAAAGAAAAATGGAAATGCGAGCAACTAATCATAAACTTAAGCTCCTAGTAGTAATCGCAATAACGCTACAATTAGTAGAAATAGCGGAAACTAATCCTTACGAACCACTAACTGCACGAACAACCTTTTATCCCTCCTCACTAATGATAACCCACGATGCTAAACCACTCACCTTTTACGGCGACACAAAATTAGTCCACATTTCCATTCCATTAAAAGTACCGATTACTAGAACGCTTAAAATGTCCAACCACTCATGTTCAAAATTTGACTCGGATTTCTTCGATAAAATACTACAGTCAATGTTGCGTATTCAAGATACAGTAAAAAGACTCCTAGCGTTGCCAGGATTTTCAACTCTCATAGAGTGTGATACGTATTTCCAAAGATATTTTGATTACGAGACAGGCATACCATCGCGAATGTCTTGTGACAGAGGCTACCGCGATTCGCTAAAAAAGTGCAAACAATGGGCACTAAGTAGTTGTAAGCAAATACCAACGGATGAGAGAATATGGTTAAAAGATAAACATAGACAACCTAGGTCAAGTTGGTTTTGTCACAGTGGCATGTTTGGTCTATTTCGAGCCATTTACCAATCCACAGGTCACTCCTGCGAGTCAAAACTTGTAGACAACCTCAAAACAACACTCAAACAAATAACAAAAGCAATGCGAATCGGTCAAAAGCTTATCAGAGTTGTAAACGGTAAAACCATTCATCTATTTAAAATAACAGACCGCATAAGCACAAAATTGAACGAGGTAACGGCATCCATAAACGACATTGATCGAGCATTTTCTTCATGGGAAGCTAAGTTAGAGAGATTTTCAAACACAGTGGGGTGCGAACAACACTTGACCATTGAGTTTTTGTCAAAGTCGTCAGCAGAAATAAACCGCGTTTTCGTAATGATTTTACGTTTCTTTGAGTTACAAGACGTTGTTTCTCAACTAAGCAGTTTAAATCGAAAAAATTTAATAGGCTCCTCTGACTTACACCAATTCCTCGTTCCAAAACTGTATGAACCACATGGAGTTCCCCCTGGGAAACGCCCCGGATGTGGTGGCCTTAATGGGCGAGATTGACGTGCACGAGGATTTTGTATTCCAGCAGGTGGCATTACCACTAATTCAGCATTTAGAAACCGGTCGATTAACGGCTCAGGTGGCAAAGTCTGGGTATAAATGCCTCAGGTCAATAAAGGTTTTACGAAGAAACTATGCCACCTCTGGCATGGGCCTTACCGTATTGTCGAGCGGTTGTCGCCGGTCCAAAAAAAGCCTGTACAGCCACCTGATGATGATGTCGATGATCAGTGTCTTTGTGCCAATGAAATTTACGACGATAGTTTTGAAGATGTTTCGTCCGACCAAGATGATCATAATGATAATCATCCTTCACAGACGGAGCCACCTAATGATTCTGCTTCTACTTTTGATGATGACGATTTCACCACCCAAGATCTTGAATTCTCGTCTTCGTAATGGTACCATCCAGTACCTGGTGAAATGGGCTGGTTATCCTATTAATGAATCTTCCTGGGAGCCAGAGGAGAACATTCTTCATAAGCGGTTAATTGCAGACTTCTCATCTTCCTAAATTTTCTTTTATGCCTTTATTTTCTTTTATTTGAGAAAGACTGTTCTTTCTTCCATCGCACTTCTGAACTCCTTCATCACCCAAAGCTACTTGGAATGGAAGATATTCTTTTTTTCCCGAAATATTTCAACAAATT